CTTCGGTTTTAGGTTAAGCTAAATCTACACATCATAATTTGTTCTCAGGGGTATACGCGGACGGACCCGGGGCCTACCTGTTTCATGGCGTATTTGAACAGCAGTATGTGTTCCACGTGATGGATCACGCGTTATGTCTGAGTAGTAGCAAACAGAAAACATGTAAAAAGCACGTGGTACGGGGAGGAGAACCGCTGGTCACAACAGGAACAGGAAAACCGACAGGAACAGGAAAACCGACAGGAAAAGGAAAACCGACCGCTTCAAGTGGAGGGTACTCCATTTGTGCCTCTTCATTTATTTCGATGATAATTTTTGCCTCTTGGATAGCTCTGTTGTTCTGAAGACACTTCAAGTGAAAAACGACATCAAGAAAACACTACTACGCAATAGAAATTAGTTTACCATTCATCTCTGCAGTGGGTTCCTATTGAAAAGTTAGGTTTTTTGCGATTGCTTTTTAGGAAAGCGATCAGTTTTGAGGGTCTGGATGGAGTTTAGTGTTAAGTGTTATTTGGCCTTTTTTTTAAAGTTTAGTGTTAAAATCTGTAAAATTTTAATATAAGTGTTTTAAAAGAGTTAACTGTTAAGTGTTAAAAGGTGTTAGAACAGGGATTTCACTGATTAAAGATCAATAAAAGTTTCATAGAGAAGGTAATAATGTTAGAAAAAAAGGACTAAGATTCTTCAAACTTAGCTCCTATGATATAGGGTGCAAAACTAGAAACAAAAGGAGAAGAGCCTACGCGGAACTGACCGAACTAGTCACCATGCATACTTTGTGCTCATGCGCATAAGTTCTTCTGACATTTTGTGGTCAGCGATTTTTAGGAGACTTCTGTATGCAAAATGGCCGCCACGTCCGCATCGGTGGGAGTTGTGGAAGTATTAGTCAGCTTTTATAGATGTGGCGAGGAAAATGCTTTTGAAAGGCATCGAAGCAGAAATCCAATCGGTAAATAGCAAAGAAATATAACGGACGCAAAGAAGCATTTGATTATCTTTCTTGGTATTTCGCAAATGGCCACCTCATTGGGGATGGGAAATTTCGAGTTGAAACTGTACCGGCTGGCCAGGTATGCCCACGGGAAAACGAAGAATTTACATATCCTTACGCAACATCAATGGGAAATGGACGGGACGGGCCTTGAGCAACGTGAGCCGGCGAGAGGTCTGCGAAGGGTTTTCGTGCCAGACCCCCAGCAAGCCTCCTCCCGACTCGTGTCAAATCCTCTCACGGGCGTAGGAACGCACGTCCTTTAGCGTTGGCAGACTAACAGTATTAGTCATCGTAGAAACTAGTTCACTTTAGAGAACAAGCTCCAAAAAGGTTAAAATATAAAACGTGGTACCTTCAACTAACAAGAAGTATCCTTTGGGAGTCATTTCTCCAGAATTTTGATGGCTTTTGCTATCTGATGACTGAAAAAGCCATCAAAATACTTCAAAAAAAACCCAAAAGGATACTTCCTATTTGTCGAAGGTACCTGGGATGTATACCTATTTTAGTACTGCTTCTCAATTGAATAATACTTCATAAAATCAAAGAATAGAAGCGGGTGGTGAAGGGGATAAATCGATTTCAGCTTTCGTTTCTACTATTTAACAATTATCCGCCTCAGGTTCGGTGAATATTGTCGGATAATCCCCCAGACGAAGTCGAGGGGATTATTCGACGATATTCACCGAACCTGAGGCGAATAATTGGTTTTAGTATAATTTCACAGCTGAACAACAGAGAAATCTCTAAAATCATAACATTTTAGCAACAATTATTAACATTTTATTTTAACAGTTTATATAAACCGCGTGGAACGGTTGATATAGCGTCATATAAGGAACCGCTCGACCAATCAGATTGCTGGAAACTCTTTGCTCAGCTCTGAAATTATACTAAATTTGTATACAATCACTTTATCAACTATCATGTGGGCGAAATTAGAAAACTCCGAAGTAATGGCTAGTAAAACCTTTGCCCTATACCTTCGGAAACTAAGGAAAACCAGAAAATCAGACACCAAAATTCCTGGCGGCTAAGTCT